ATAAATATAAAAAAATACACTACTATAGTTCTTGTTCAGAATTTGCTGAAGGGACTGCTTAACATAAATTAAATGGTAGGTAGTAGAGACAACTTAACCACGAGGTGGCACTGTAAGAACTGTTTTTATTGGGGTGGCCATACCTGAAGAAGTGATACTTACACTTCCTTGCTTTTTAGGCTTTTTTGAAAAATGCATTCATCACATTTTGCAACTATTGCAAATTACTTTTAGCCACAGGCATCCAGGACAGTATAGTGCTAGGCAGTCTTTGAAAAGCTAGCCTTGTCTTTAAAGAAAAACATGCAAAGGTGGGGGTATGTGACACTGTAAATCTCCATGAAGCAATTCATGGGGAAAATGCATAGTGCAAGTGGACCTTAAAAATTTTGTCAGTATGACAGAGCAACATGCAACATGCTCAGTCAGTTCTGCTAATTAATTTGAGGGAGAGATGGTGTCACTCGACCTCCCCAGCTATTGCATATGGTGCACTGCAGTACACTGGGCCATTGCTGGGGACTGCGGTCCTTTCTTGCATTTGCTGCTCCAGGCCCTCTTTCACAGCTGCAAGGGATCAGTCACAACTGTCTTCACAACATTTTATAGGATTCTTTATAGATACAGTTTATATTTTCTGTAATAAATATTTTGTTAAATTATGTTATTTTCAAATGTCATAACACCATTGTTTTGCTTTCTTAACATTTATGGAAAAAACCCTCCATCTTCTGTATAAATGCACATCTGGCCAGTTTAAAATTAATCTGTGAAAGAGAGTTTATTTTTCTTCTGACATCCCTCTCAGAAACGGCAGTACTAGTATTACCAAAGGTAAAACTTGGTAGGTAGGTCTTTTCTTCTGCCAAAAAGGCAAAAGTAAACATTACTGTAGAAGATGCAGCCATATGTCTTTCATCATAGATTATCATGCTTAACTACTTGCCACAGCAGTATTGTCAGAATTGCAGTACTGATGCTTTACATTTTAAACCTTAAGATTTAGCTTATTCCCTTCCAAAAATTTTTGTATACCTTTAGTACATAACAAACTGCTGAGTTCAAAATGTAAAAATTATGTCATAGAAGAAAGTAATTTTAAATTGTTGTTGGTTTTATACATATAAGCACTGCTGTGTGAATTAAACACTTATCGTCCAAATCATTGCCCTTGCATCTGATAAAGATTGTGATTTGATTGGGTGAAAGGGAATAAGATGGAGAAGGGCAGGAGTTTAGAAACAAAACTAAATTCTTGTTTTCTTTTGGGTACTGCAGTCAGTAGGGATCTGAAATAAACATTTCAGTTTGGTTTTTCACTTCCTGGTTCTAATAGAAAAATTGAAAACTGTTTTGTAGAAAATACATGGCGTCATAGCTCAAAGCAGTGTTCCCCTTCCATCTTCCCCTCTGATTTTCAAAGGTTTTTCTCTACCTCCTTCCTCTTCCCTCAGTGATGATTACTATACTGGATGTTTAAAAAATTGAAGCTGGGTTGAAAAGAATCCAGAAGTTGTTTTCTTCCCCTAACATGTGTACGTGTAATAACATAGTAGTAAATACTGTGTTTCTAGTGTAAATAATAGTTATTACTGAATTTTTTAAGATGCAGGGTTTTGTCACAGTTATACCCTGTTCTACTGAGGGCAAAAGGAAAATCAATAGTTTTCTTTTTAAAACAAAATTGTCATTATTAAATGCTGTTTTCTAAACTAATAACAAGATCACAAGATCTGTTTTGCTGGTGTCTTTTTAGTGATCTATTATATAGCTGTTTATTGGAGGGGAAAAAAAAAAAGCTTAGCTGGTTTCTACAAACACTTGAGATTTTTCGCTGCAACACTGCTACTCCTGGACTGTAGGTAGTCAGTAGATCCCAGATCTCTCCCACTTTTAAATGCATCATTTTTGTAAATAGTAATTTATTAAATACTTTTGTCATTAGCCTTTTTTTTTTTCTTTTCTAAGTTGCAGATACTTGCTCTCTGAGTTAACAAGTACAGTATATGAAGAAAAATACCTAAACAGAAATTTCAGGATTCTTCAGTGTGCTTTTTTCCCCTCTCAAATAGTAATGTAGATAGAAAAGATAAAAACTGAAGGGTCCCTTGGACTTTTAATAGCATGATAGAAATCTAATTGAACTTAACTTGGAACATATTTGAAACAGTATATTATTTTCTTTTGTATTTTGTTCTCCACATCTGTTTAATTGTGAATGCAGTACTCATTTAACTTCAGTCAGTGAGTAACATGCTTTTTATTATTATTATTATTATTTTTATATCTGTTCAGCTGCTGGGTGTCATTGATAAGTGACACCATGCTTACTCTTTGGCATTTCATCAATTATATTGGAAAAAATACACTGCCATGTGTGGGTTTTTTTTTTTCTTTTTCTCCTTTGTAATTTATGTGTTTTGTTCAAAATGCTTAAATTCAGTTTTTCAAAAAAATAGAAGTGTTCCGTGACTTGCAAAAATCCTGTTTCTAAGCAGATGTAACAGGGATCTTAGCAAGTGTTCACTTCCCATTCTTCACTTGCTGTCGTGCTTCAGCCTGAACAGGAAAGTAGCCTGCTCCAAAAATGAGCCATGTGTATGTTCTTGGTACCTCCTCTGGTACCAGCAAGCCATTTGAGATTATGCACTGTGGGCTGTAATTGTCTATCCATTAAATGTCTAACTAAGACTCGTTTGATTAAAACCAGTGAACAACTATCAAATGAAAATAACTTTTTTGCTACTAGTCATGTGGTGGCCTAGAAGAAGAAGAAAGCCTTGTGTTGTAGTCCAGTAAGTTGCTGCTTCTGTCAGTCAGCTGGACCACATGTGAACAGGAGTCCTAGACCTGTCAATGCATGCTTATATGTACAAAAATGGAAAAGCTGATTTTTCATTTATTTATTTGTGTGGCATAAAAGGATGATGGGGTCAAAGAAAAGTTATATTTAGTATCTGTTTAGAGGAGTCAAGAAAATCAGAAGGGTTTGAATGCTTCATAGTAGAAGCATTGATGCAAGATTTCCAGAACTATAAAAATGGTTACTTGTATTAACTGTGAAGTTGAGGTAACAAACTGCAATGAGGCAAACTGTTTTGCTTTACCCATTTTCATGTTTCAATAACAGGTACACTTTGGATGAGTTTGGAACAGCTAGGAGGAGCGCTGTCGTCCGTGGCTTTATAGATGCTCTTACTAGAGGAGGTCTGGGAGGTACTCCCCGCCCTATTGAAATGCACTCTCATGATCCTCTGAGGTACAGTACTAGCGAGAATAATCCTTCTTTTGCCTGTTGGCACTTTGAATCCCTGACACCATAACCTGCTGATTTACACAGTAATTTCTGTCTTTATTTAGGTATGTAGGAGACATGCTGGCCTGGTTGCATCAAGCTACAGCTTCTGAAAAAGAACACCTAGAAGCTATGTTAAAACTTGTAACTATTCAAGGTAGTACTAGATTTTAAAACATAAATTGGGAAGTGATAGAAAGTAAGTCTGTGATAAGTCAGAAAGTGCGATTAATTTCTTGGGCTGGGCTTCAGTTATGAGAGTCTGAGCTTAGATTTTCCTGGAAATAATTTCAGAATAGCTGGTGGTTGCATTTTGCCAGAAGAAAGCCAAGCCCTTAATGAAGAAGAGTATTTCAAAATGTACTCTTTTCATTTTACTGTGCTTATAATAGGTTTACACTAAACTTACAAAAGGAACATTTTAGACTGTAGTTGAGAGTTTAAAAATTGTCTTTAATGTATATGAATACATGCCTCTCTGAAAACATTGCCATAGGGTTGCTTATTGGTATGTTGAGGATATGTAATTTTTTTAAATACAATTCCTTCTTCCTGTAATTCTCTTCCTTTTATGCTACAAGTAAAATGGAATTTTCTTCTGTCATGTAACATATCATTATAGGTTTACCGAGGTCAAAGTAGGCTGCTTACAGACACATGAAGCTTTTTAATATCAAAGTTCTCCTTCATTAACAGAACTACAGATTCTCATGCTTATTCTTCAGCCTCTTTGCTCTCTTTTAAGTACATGGGACCTATAGTTTTAAGACCTTTGTCCTGTAGAAGTTGTAGTATGATTTGCCTGCATAGCTTCAGCCAAAGACTTGTTTAATAAATTAAGCATGTGTACTCAGTTGTAACAAACTTTGTGTAAGAACTGACATTTGATCTGTATCTGGTGAGCTCTTCAGACTGTATGTCTTAATGGAGTTCTGCTCTGGGATTTAAAGGTAATATGCATTCTCATTTTCCTTACTGCTGGAAGTATTAATTGGGTTTCCTAATTAACAGTATATGAGCAAGGAGGCTGTTTAGGAACTGTTGTAAATCAAACCAAAAGAATGTTGTTTTGTTGTTTTTTAACTGTAGTTACAGTGTACTGTAGAAGTTTAATATTTTTACTGACAGTATCTCAGGGGGACAGGAAAGCAGGCCTTGCAATGGTTGTGTGGTAGACAAAAGGACATGGCAGTTCTTTGTAGATGACTGATTGATGCTTTTGCTGTAATTGGAGAGTCCTTCTGGAGAAGCTGGCCACGTGGAGGATGCTACTGTATCTGGTTCTGCTGTTGACTCTGCTACTGCTGCTGCCCAGGCCTGCATTCTGTTCTGAAATTCTGCCACCTCTTCGCCCAGTGCTTTATTTAACTGTTAAATCCCTTGGGCTTCTGGCAGGAAGTCAGGCTGAGATGCTATGACCACATAATCAGATATGTTTAGAGCATTTCAGCCATAGATCAGAGTAAACTATTTGAGAATACAGAGAATATAAATGTTTTAGGAAAAAAAATTCCAAAAAAATCACGAAGCCAAAACTTTTTTCCCAAGACACTAGTATAAACAAGAGATTCAGTATTTCTGTCTGAGGCAAAAATAGGTTTTCCTAAGCTCTTCAGGAATGGGTTTGCCATCACTGTTGTGCAGTTTTCAAGAAATGTAAAGAGGGTTTCTTGGCTTCGTACTGGGAGCAACAAAGCCAGGGAGATGCTGTCTGTTAACTATTCCTCTGCATCTTTGGGAAATGTTTTTGATGCCAAGGATGGTTTTATGCAGTAAGATCTGTAAGACAAAACAGTACTTAATGGGATACCACTGGCTTAACAAGAACAGTTTATGGGAAGTGCAGCCTTATGAAGTACCTTGACATTAAATGCTTTATATAAATACCGATTCTGAATTGATAGTGGCTAATCAGCAAGTACAGTGTCTGTGGTACTGAGAGATTGAAGTTGAATTCCCTGTACTGTTGTACAGTGTTCGGGTGTCCAGTTGCGCAGGCTACAGCAGAGATTGAGTTAATTTCACTTAGCCATTTTAGAAGTGGACATCTTGTTTATTTGCAGTTATAGATAATGACAGAGGTTTGCATCTCCAGAGGACAAATCTTCCCAACAAAAGTTAGATCTAACATAGGCATTTTTGGAGACTTTAATCACAGCTGTTTGTTTGGGGTTTTTTTCCATTCCCTATAGAGGGAGCCAAAGCAACTAGTATAGATAAGACACCTAACTGGAGGTCTAAAGTTAGGTGACATGGACCTTTCCCTGTAATAGGTCAGTCAAATGTTTTAATTTTAATTTCAAATTGAGTAGCTTTTTGCAGATGGAACTGCAAAAAAAACAAAAAAAAGCCTTTAAAGAGAACAAACTGTGTAGCCCATAATCATGTATTCAAGAATAGCCTTTAAAAAGTTTAAAAATTTTAAGCTTGCAAATGTTAACTGTTTAAAATTAATCTGACCAAAAACACTATTAAATTTTAAGCACTAAAACCACATTCAGAAATGTTTAACTATTTTACATTGTACTGGCCAAGCATAAAGCACCTGGTTCTCTTCTTTGGAGCTTAGGTATTCTGCTAACAGGAGACTTCCAGTCTTACAGAGATCTTGCATTTGAAAGGAAGGGAGAATTGCAGGCATTCTGTTTAAGAGAAGTAGTATAAACCCATTTTTCATGGAGTTACAGGAACCCAGCTGGAGAGCAGAAGCCAAACGAAGTCCAAGAAAGATCTCTCCCTTATGGAAGGATACACAGAGAAAAATGATACATGGTGTAGCAGGCAGCCAGAAGTGTATCTTCAGTAATGAACTGTTTTCTAAAAGTGGTTTTGGGTCTCTGAGAATTGTTAATTCCATAATTCTTTTATGTCAGTATGACATACTAATAGTTGCAACAGCTGTGCTGAAAAATTTCTTTTTGCTGAATCTAAAACATTCTAATGCGACATGAAAGTATATGTGAAAGCACAAGCATGCAATATGTCAAGATTGTAATTCCATGTCCTTTGGTATTTGAACTTGTATATTTTTGCAGCTAAAACTTTCATACTCAATAACTTGTTGTTAAGTCAATCTGGTCTAGATATACTATTGCAAATATGTGCTAGGTGCTTGTTATATTGATGAACAGTAAAAGTGTGACTGTTCCTACTAAAAAATGTGTAAATTGTTAGGGTGTATCTGGGAGCTAGCCATTACATAACAGAACATACATCTTGTGGTTTGTAATCTTGCTTTCTTCCTTGATAGCAATACTCAAATATATAACCTTATTTTTATTACCTTACCAATTTAGTATGCTGAAATTCTTACAGCCACCACACTGAATTTAATTGTTTCTGCTTATGTGGCTTTTCACATATCTCTGTGCAAAGAGACATTGTCACAGATCTCTGATCTTTTATAATTTTTACTCTCAGAGGTAGTCTCTTTTAGACTGAAATAAGATCTTAAAAATATAGCTTCAGGTCACCTGATTTCTATCACATGTCACAGTCAGTTTGTTTACTGTTCATTGCATGGGTCCCATCTGAAGATGAACTCCTGTTGACAAGTTTTAAATTAGAATTAAAGTATTGCTGTCTCCATAAATCTATTCTGAGTTGTTACTGAAGTGAGAGCTTGAAGATCTGTTGCTTTCAGTTTGATTGATTTATGACAGTACCGGTTGCCATGCAACAATTCATTTGTGTTCCATGATAAGATAGGGCAATATTCTCTTTTGTATATAATTCCATGAAAGATGAGTTTCAATTGCTGCTGGGGAGGAAGCATTTGCTAATGCTGCAGCACACGGCAGTGTGGAGGTACATATGTGATTTAATTTGTAACAATGCCATGAGCACGTCAGTACCGAACACTGACAGACATGTGTATTTATGGTTCAGGCCTTTCGAAATGGTATGTGCTGTTGCTCCTTGAGCAACTCACTGGCCTTTTTTTTTTTCTGTTTAGTTTCATGAAGTGCTGATATTGAGCTTTACTATGACAGTTTCTTGCTAGACCATTTATTTTCTTCCCTCCTTCCTTCTCCCTCAAATCCCCAGGCACTACGTTGTGCTAGGAAGCAATTGTATAGGATAGGGTGATGACTCTCCAGGACTCTGTTTTGTCATGCAGCTATTTCTTAATGGCTGCATTTGAAGTTCAGTGGAGGTGTAAACTAGTCTTGTGGAGAAGAGAACATGCAGTTCATAATGCATTTTATGGCGGAGTAGCTCCTACATTTGTTTGTTTGGTGTACAGTCTCAAAGAATTTCAAATTATATTTGCATAATCTTAGCATGTGCTTGCATTAACTGTAGGTGTGGAAGAAAATATTCAAGAAGTAGTTGGGCACATCACAGAAGGTGTCTGCAGGCCTCTGAAGGTGAAGTATTTTGTTTTCCTTAGCATTCTAAATATAAAAATTTTTCTGTCATGTTTTCCCAGAACCTCTGTCCCCATCTCTACAATGTATTTTCATTGCCCTTGGTTAAGATTCAGATTCTCCACTTTGAGAATCCTAAACCCCTTCAAAATAAAAAATTCCATAGTTCATAGACACCTGGTTTACATAGTCATATAGTGAGAGATACTAGGATACTAAATCTATATCTTGATTTTATTTTACTTTTCCTAAAGTTCAGGAGTGCTTATGTACAAAAATTCAGCTTTTGGGTAAGCATATAGGAATGGCTGTAGTGGGTCAAATGAAAAATCAATTGAACTTATACCCTGTTTTTCATGGTGACCATTAACATATACTTAGGAGTGTACAGATTGTTCAGGTGTGTCATGATGCTTCTGCAGAATCATTTCCTTGCCTGATTGTGGACATACTAAGGACTTAGTAAACCATAGCTACTGTCTTTGTATTAATAGACCTTGGTAGATTTTTCTTCCTTGAATATGTCAAGTTGATAGAAAATGTTGGTAGTCACAACATACCCTGCAGGAGAGAAGTGCACAATTTAACTGCTGTGTAAAAAGCCAGCTCCTTTTGGTTTTGTTTAGTTTAATAACTCCAGCTTTTGTATTGATAGGGACCATGAAAAGTTGTTTCCTACTTTTCATCTTTATGCTACCCTGATTTGCTGTATTTCTGTCACATCCCTCCACATTTGTCTTTTTTCCAAGATAGAGCATTAGTCAGTTTAGGGGACCCGTTTGATAGAAATCATTAATAGTGAACCATCAAATGAATGGCTGCCTTGTTTATTGGATGTTCTTCACATAAGCACAAAATAAAACCAGGTGATGAAGCTGATACCAATAATTGCATGACTATGCTAGTTCCATACAATGTATAAATCCAAGTGTTTTTAAAGTAAAATCTAGTATACTAAATACTATTATAGTAAATTTCTCTTAGAATGCTGTAGCTATAACAACTGTGTCCAGTTGCCAAATACTTAGTCTCAAATAGCTAACAGGTAGGTTCTGAATATGATACAGAAGTTCCTGTTAAGAAAGAGAGAAGGTCTGAAGAGAGGTAAAAATCAAGAAAATGCCTTTTTATAGTATCACAGAATCACACAGAATGGTTGAGGTTGGCAGGGACCTCTGGAGGTCATCTGATCCAAACCTGCTATTCCAGCAGGGCCACCTAGAGCTGGTTGCCCAGGACTGTATCCAGATGGCTTTTGAATATCTATACAAGGATGGAGACTCCTGTCTGGGTCACTTGTGCCAGTGCTCAGTCACCCTCACAGTAAAAAAGTGTTTCCCGGTGTTTAGACAGAACCTTGTATGTTTCAGTTTGTGCTCATTGCCATATGATTATGATCATCCTTCACAGCCTTTAGTTTTTGACCTGTTGAAAAACACCTGTCACATTAGACAAACAAACTGTTATCACAGCTTTTTTGGAAGATATTTTCCAAGCTTTCTGTGTTCTTCTTGCATGCTTTAATTCTGTTAATACCGAATGCTGATGCTTGAGTTCAGTATTTCTGTGCATTCCAACAAAGTAATTAAGGATAGAATCAAACTTTTGTGTAAGTCAGAGGGATTTTTGGTCTTGAGTTGAGTACTTACAATTTGTACAGTTTTGTACAGAATACCTTCCATTTTGATTGCCAAACTCTTTACACTTAATGCGTTTCTGTTATCTGTGGAAATATCCCGCGAAATATTGTCGGTAGTTAGTTAGTGTGCTAATAAAAAAGAAAAAACCTGAAAGAACAGTTAAAGAATTCCCACTGTATTCTGTATGTTATTAGAATGCAACTTAAGTTAATTCACTGCCAGTCTAGACTTCCCAATGTAAAATAAGCATTTCTTATTGTCTCCCCTGGGGAAATGTTCCATAGCAAAAAAAAAAAAGCGGAAAAAAAACCAAAAGCCCCCAACCAGGAAAGCCTTCATACAATGCAGCTGGATAATTGCAAGCCTTCGTGTTGGGAGGAGCAACAAAAATAGACTCAGTTTGGAGGAGTCTTTTTTACGATATATTGTTCTTTCTGAAGATTGTCCACAATCAGAAAAATAACTGCATTAAGTTCAGGGAAAACACTCTTTGTTGTAGTCATATGGCACCACACTATACTGCTTTTCTAGTGGATTTCTGCTGGTGGTTGCAAACCTGTCACTTTGATTTGAGTTGATGCTGAAATATAAAATAGCCTGATAAAAGCCTAGTCATAGAATTTCCACAAGCACTTTTAAATACTTAGGGAATTATGTAGATTTCTTAGTGGTTTATGCCTTTCCATGTGAATGTACAATATGATAGTTTCCTTACTTTTGAAGAAGGATTATGCTTATATGCAGTGTAAATTGTCCACATTTCTTACTGATAGTTGGTTTGACTTCTAGGCATCCAAGTGAATCTTGAGTACTCACTAGTGGTAGATCTTGCCACGGGCCTGTCATTTCAGATGGAAGTAGGATGGCCCTAAAAAACATTTAAATTGAGGTTCTCATCTTTTCTATAGCACTTAAGATGAGGTCAAAACCAACAAAATGTTTTTAATGCCTTCTGTATACTTCAGATGGTCTCTTATGGTTAACTGACTACAGGATGCATAGGACTAAGAAATGATAAGAGCTTTAAGTCCAGGACTTCTCTGAGCAGGTTAGATTTAGTCACTTGCAAATTTTGGTTCTCCTGTACAGTGAAGACTTCTGTATGGGAAGCAACAATGCTTCTTTTCCTGCTGTGGTTTCTTTAAATCTCATTTTTGTTTCCTAACCCTAAAATCTGCTGGGTTTTTTTTTCCTCTCCTTCTGCCTATTCTGTCTTTTTCTATTTCTTAATTCTTTTCTTTATTTTTAGTTATTGCTATTTTTGGGGTTTTTGTCAATATTTTGATTTTCCTCTTTTTCCCCTGCTTTTCTTATTCTATTTTGCTGTACACCTAGACTGTACTCAGTATCCATGCCCAAATGACCTTTTATGCAACATTGGAGACAGGTATTTGTATCTATACCTCTGTATATACATATGCATTGAAGAGCGAAGTTCACCTGAGTGTTGAAATTAACATCATGCATGGAGCTTTGCGAATAAGAGTCTACAATTACTCTTTGGTTTTGGTCTCTGACTTAGGTGCAAAGGGAGAGGATTAAGGAAGCATAATCTTGGTTAATTCTCCCTGCAGCTGGCTCTGACGAGAAGGCACTGCTGCACATCGTGCTTCGTTGCACAGAAGAGTAACTTGGGAGAGTGGGTGGTGGCTGGTGATCTGTGTGTAGCCCTTTCACACACAGGCACGTGGGAGAACAGTGCAGTGATAAGTCACTGTCTATCACTGCTTCATGAGTGCCCAAAGATTGACCCTGGGGCAGCCTTTCATGAGTGGATTGAGACTGTGTGTACCATGGAGACAAGACGTCAACTGTCCAAGCGTAAAGAAAGTCAGCACTGTTCTGTCTGTGTAGCCAGTTATCTCCTGGTTGAGATAAGTCAATGTAGCTGGTCATTAGTTACAAATGTATCTAATTACATACTGATAGCTGGTATATAATCTCTCCTTTAAGTGAAGGAGAGATTAATCAAGGTGAAATTTTATCTTTTGGGTAAAATACCTAATACTTTGGAAGTTCTGAATTGGTGCATGATGCTAATGATCAACTGCAGCTTTGCAGCTGTTCTTGCTATTTAGTGCTAGGGAGAATTCCAGTATGTACTGATATTAATCCATCAAATGATCTCATTATTTTGAAATTTTCAATAAGAAGTTGCAACAAAAATCTATAGGGAAACGGGTTTTCTTTTTGTTTTGTTTTATTTTTTTTTGAAGAATACATATACCTGCTTGTTTTCTATGCAGAGGCTTGACAGCCAAGAAGCACTTTAGTTCAAGCAGAATGTTATAGTTAACTGGATGTTCTCTTGTTAAATTTATTTCTGGTTAAATTTCTTTTTCAAAAATCAGACATATAAAATCATAGAGGTTGGCTTTTGGAATGTATGACCTGAAGGATGCTTGTATTTCTTTATTCTGCAGGTTAGAATTGAGCAGGTGATTGTTGCTGAGCCAGGAGCAGTTTTACTGTACAAGATTTCTAATCTTCTGAAGTTCTACCACCATACAATCAGGTATGCAAAATTACAAAGTATGTTAAAGATCTCCTTTTTTTTATTGTATATATAAAGGTTAATATAGTAAAAAGAGTATTTTTGTGGCTTAGTTTTTGCTCTGAACTATGGAATCAAGGAGAAACGTGCATGATATCAAGGAAATGCCATTTATCTGTTGTCATTCCTCAAGTCATATGGAATCTGCTTTGGAATACAGCATCAATTTGCCACAGAAACTGTTTCTTTATTGTTTTGTGTAGCTACAAGTAGTATACAAAAAAATACACAAATCATTTAAGACGACAAAGTCAAGTCCCTTTTGAGAAGATGCTAGAATTAAATTATCTCTAGAATTTCAGTTTTTCTTTTCTTCCTTAAACAACTATGTTTTGATACCATTTATTCTAATTTTGCACTTGCACTGTTCTATTGGGAAGATATTTGTGTAATTCCCTATCTTGCTGTTGAAGGTGCACCAATCTTCTTCCAACCTGCCAGATGCCACCAGGAACACAGAAACTGGAGAAAAACCAGAATCTCTGGTTTTATACATTGTGGCATTTGCAGTAGTTCCTATTGGTTAGAAACAGCAATAGCAGGAAAATTTTCCCTCACAGCCTTGGACTGAACTGCTGAGAATTAGAATCACTAATATTAATATTTGAGCTTCTTTTCTGTCTGAAAAGACATTTAGATGTTGGGCAGACTGGGATAAGTGGTTCTTGGGCATCTCACACTGTATCTAAAATCCTCAATTGTGATGGCACTACAGGTCTATGGTAGAACACATATAAGACTTTTTTTTTTATTATTTTATAATATGGAACAAAACATATTTTATTCCTAATCTCACTGTCAAAAACAGCTGCAAGATATTAGCTGTCATTTTTCCGTCTCCAAAGTTTGTGTTTCCCAGTGGTTATAAAGCTTTGCACAATTGAAAATGTGATGTTAAAATGGAAGGTCATAGGCAGTCTTATCTGTTGCTTTCTGTCTTGCTAACGATACATTGTTTGAAGGCCATTGAAGTACCTTCTGTCAGCTGAGTAACTTCCTCTGTATGGAGGAAGTGCACTTGACTAATGAAGGGAAAAATCCAATTTGAGAAATTCTCTATTAAATGCAACAAGATTATAATCTGAAAATCAAGCTACAAGTTTAAATTAGTCCTATTAAGACGGAATGAATTTTTACTGCCATTTTTGTAGCTTAGAAGTGCTTTTACTTTAGACAGAAGGTGTATCCATGAGAAGTGTATAGTCACGCAGTGTCATTTAAAGCTTATGCAGTGTTTATGCTAAGTATAATAACTTGACACTTGGAATAGCAAGGCATGAATTCTTGTATTTTTGGAGATGCCTAACATCGCAATGAAGAAACAAGAGAGATGATGCTATCCCTAAAGGACAGTTTGACAGAATAAAGTTATCAACCCTTCTTGTTTATATAATCTCTTTTCTATAATGAAAGTAGATTTACAGAATAACAAAAAAAAATCTAGTCAATTTTAGAATTCTACTAAAAAGTTTGGTCAAAGCTTTAGATAGGCTGTACTTTCATCTGCCTAATGACGTAGTTGATAACGCTTGTTCTCAGTCATCTTATGAGTGAATCTCTCAATTTATATGGAGAACTGTTCCCTGCAATTATTTATTGTAAATTTTCAACGTTGAAAAAATTGTATTTGAAATACTGTCTAAAGTATCTGACCCTGTCACGTTCCCCCCCTTCAGATTATTTGATTAATCTTGATTTTGTTTTCAGTGGTATTGTGGGAAACAGTGCAGCCACACTGTTGACAACAATTGAAGAAATGCATTTGTTGAGCAAGAAGATATTCTTTAATAGCCTGAGTCTTCATGCAAGTAAACTAATGGACAAGGTTTGTTTCAAAATCATACAGCTTTCATGTTACAAAACACACACTTTCATTTCCCTTTTGTATAGTAAGATTATTAGATGAATAGCTATTTTATACTGCAGCTTTTCCTAAAATTGAAGTTTTGTAGTTTCTATATTCTAGCTATGGAACTACATTAAAAACTTCCTGTCTACGTTTTAATTCTTCTAATAGTTCTGTTGTTGTGAAAATATGGCTAAAATACTGTTGTTGGCAGCATTTGTTTATAGAGCAACAGAGCAGTTTACATATTTTTAAATGACAAGCAAAAAAATTAGGAAATTTCTCCAAGTGCAATATAGCAAAGTTTGAACTGGATTGAACTAGATAGTTGGTATTAACACATCATCAGATCAGTAGTTAATTGCTCATGTGCATAATTCCTTTCTTGAAGGTATGAAGTATGTTCCAAGATGGTAAGCTAAGTAAAAATAAAATTCAGGCTTTTTTTGTCTTTCATAAAAAGAGTTTTATCACATGAACATTGCTGCCGTTGTTATACCGAACAACTGTACCTAAGCCAGAATCGCTTTCCTGGTATCTTTTCCTCTCCTGGTGATCGCTTTGAATTGCATTTCAGTGAACTTCCAACTGTTCAGTACCTAATACAGTTGTTCTTAAATTCTCCCTGCTGTATTTGTATCATGTTGCTGTTGGTGGATCCGCCCATTAAATCTTACCTTTCTAAAATCTAAGCCAAGTCAAAGCAAGTTGTTAGGCTACACATCCCTCACCGTTTCTGTGGTGGGTTGACCCTGGCTGGACACCAGGCACCCACCAAAGCCGCTCTGTCACTCCCCTCCTCGATTGGACAGGTGAGAGAAAATACAATGAAAGGCTCACAGGTCGAGATAAGGACAGGGAGGGGTCATTCACCCATTACCGTCATGGGCAAAACAGACTGGACTTCAGAAAATTAGTTCAGTTAATTGCCAATCAAATCAGAGTAGAGTAATGAGAAATAAAACACCTTCCCCCCCACTCTTCCTGGGCTTAATGTCAGTCCCAGTTTTCTCTACCTCCTCCGCCGCAGCGGGACGGGATGGGGGTTGCAGTCAGTTCATCACACGTTGTCTCTGCTGCTCCTTCCTCCTCAGGGGGAGGACTCGTCACACTTTTCCCCTGTTCCAGTGTGAGGTCCCTCCCACAGGAGACAGTCATCCATGAACTTCTCCAATGTGAGTCTTTTCCACGGGCTACAGTTCTTCACAAACTGCTCCCATGTGGGTCCCTTCCACAGGGTGCAGTCCTTCAGGAAAAAGACTGCTCCAGCGTGGGCTCCTCTCTCTATCCACGGGGCCACAGGTCCTGCCAGGAGCCTGCTCCAGCACGCGCTTCTCACGGGGTCACAGCCTCCTTTGGGTGCATCCACGGGCTCTGGCATGGGGTCCTCCCTGAGCTGCAGGTGGATATCTGCTCCACTGTGGACTTCCATGGGCTTTTTTCCCCCCCCTTAAATGTGTTATCACAGAGGCGCTGCTACCGTCGCTGATGGGTTTGGCCTTGGCCAGCGGCGGGTCCATCTTGGAGCCGGCTGGCATTGGCTCTGTCAGACATAGGGGAAAATTCTAGCAGCTTCTCACAGAAGCCACCCCTGTAGCCCCTCTGCTACCAAAACCTTGCCACGCAAACTCAATACAATTTCCTAAGGATCTGATCTTCATCTAGCATCCCTGACTGAGATGTGATGAGTTGACTAGGCCCTAAAATCAGGAAGAGATGCCTTTCTTTATTCCTAGTTATTGCACCACCCTAGAATTCAAAAAAGCCCTCACATTACTGGTTTTTCCAGCTAAAAAAAAAAGTTTGGAAGTGGAAAACAAACAGTGAAGTTTTCTAAGTGTATTTACTAATTATTTGTGCTTAACCTACAAGAAAAATGCAAAAAATACATGCATTTAAAGAAACTTTTCCTTGTGCAAAGCCTTGTAGTTCACTGACCATTCAGTGGGACTTTCTGAGTTTGATCAGTGTTCTGTGGTCTCAGTTTTCTCATTCTGCACAGTTTACATCTGGTCCCAATTTCCTATCTTTCTGCAAGGGCTGAGGAATGACTTTCTCAAAGGAACAGTTGTTCCTCGTGATCTTCTTTTCCATATATCCCACTGACTCCTTTAAGTGGTTCCATTTATTCATCAGGTGACTCCTTAGTTGCTACCACCCACAGTCCATACTACTAAAGTCCACTTAGTACATTGTTGTCATGGGGTATTTCCATTTGAATGCAGTGTCATTGGAATAGTAGTTCCTCTGCTACTAATGCCTCTTCAAGGGTCAGTTAAAGCTTGAGTTCATAAAACCTGCAAAGGACAGGGGCAGTATGAATTTACACCAAAAAAAGAAAAAGAGCTTACATCTTGCTATGGGCATATGCTAGCTGTATATGAATTCCTCAGAATGTTTTATTTCCTAATACATAAGCTAAAAGAAAATGTCTGTGTACTTGTTCCTTTTATGAAGAGAAATCAGTGATGGACCTTAGCAAAAATATATGACTGCTCTTTACTTACAAAGAATGTGCAAACAAAGTAGTGCTTAAGAAAAGAAGTTTTCTTGGCTTGAAACTGTAAGACAGCTCTGTATTCATCTCTGTTGTATTTAGCTCTGTTTTATTTATCCTGCTGGGTCTTACATCTGTACTCAAACAAGATCCAGCATAATTTTTCTATTCACATAACTCAAAATCTTTGTACTTTTGTTTTGGGTAATAAGCTGTTTTCAGTTTGGAGACGAGTAGAATTCAGAAGGAGAAGGAGTGATAAAGGAATTGTGATCCCCCAGTTCGTAGTGTGTGCTCTTTATATCACCACTATGGGAAGACTGTGTAATCCTCTTTGCCCTCTTAGTTCCCCTTCCCTCAGCCGCCAGCCTGGATGCAACTGGCTCTAGATGCTGCCATTGTTTTATAAAGGAGTCTAGTTTAGTTTTACTAATGAAGGCAGAGATTGCACTGCCACCTTCAGTGGCACTTTATTGTGAATAATGAATAGCATACCGAGCATACCATGTAATGTAAAAAGATCGTAGTATTGCTCTTTCTCATAAACGGATTTTATAAATTAAATCTGAAACATTGACAATTTTACATTGCATATATGCGCTATGAAGATCTTTCCTCAGGCTATAATTGAGGTCAAAAGCTTAAAGAGACTCAGAAGAGCATTAGATAGATGAGTAACAAAGGCATCCACAATTACTTATTAATCTCTTGTGCTTCAGGAATTAACAACGAGGTAACTCTCTGGGTGAGACGGAGTCTTACCATACTGATGTGTAGTTCTTGTAACTTAGAGTTTTAGACAGTCCTTTGAGGCACCTTATATTATTTCCCTTTATGAGTGGACTACTGAATTGATAGAATGATGTCTTATCTCCTCATGACTGAAATTAGTTTAACTTCACAAAAAATACAACATTAATAGGCTGGATTACACTCAGAGAAACATTAGTTTCCACAAGATAAAGACCCTATTTTATCATAAATGTAATTCTCCTGTTACTTAGTTTATTCTGTGTTAACATACAGACAACCAGTTTTTATGCCTTTTCATGTGTCTTCATTAATTTAGTACTGAGTGTCACAATGCTTTTACATTTTGAGGAATCTCAAGGTTGCTTTTTATCATCTTTTTTATTAATATGTGTTCAGACCAAAATTTTGTATATGTATTACTAGGATTCTCTTCACATCTCAACCTTTTTATCAGCTTTTTGCTAACTATGTATGCATTGCAACTGCTCCCAGAATTTTTTTTATTTTCAGGGAAGATTAAAGCACTGGAGAACAGACCCTTTGTGCTTACATATGCGATTGCAAAGGCTTCGTTGCTGCACCTGATCTGCACAGAGAGAATACTCACTTGTAAAATTAGTAAATTACTTTTCATTTGGACAGTCTGGAAATCATGGTTCTTTATTTCTGCTTATATTTTGCATCTTAAGGCATTGCTAAGCTTGTTTCAAAGAATGTCAGCTGTCCATTACTTTGATTAAAATATGATTCTTAAGGCAATTTAAATAACTTTGGAAATAGATTAAAATACAAGTAGGGTGTTCTTAAATAGAAAATACTTTTATTTCTATGAGCTTAAGTGCCTCTTTTGTTTAGATCATTAGAGAGTGGTGAATATAGCCTGCATGAGTTACAGCATTTTAATGATGGTGTTCCCTCAGTATCATCAGTTGTTGCTGATAATCTGAAAATCATAATGAAGAAATTCTGAATGGAAGTCAGTTCTACAATTTTTATTTAATTTAGAGAGAATTTAAGTGTTTTCTTAATTGCTGGTTGTAGCTACAAAATTCCAGAAGACTTAGTCATAATTACCAGTGAATTTGTAACTTGACAGGAGTCTCTTTAGCCCTGTGCAAATTCTCTTGTGCTGTGGTGTGGGGAGAACTGTCTAGAAACACTGGTGTGTTACTGTGTCTCGCTGTGGTATGCTTTTTTTAATACCTACAGTCCATCTAGTAGTTGATAGACCAGAAGAGTATTTAAGCAAATCTTTCTCTTAAATACAGCTAGTTGGGAACTTTTTAGACAAAGCAGGTTTCATTAAATATGCTAACTCCTCAAGATCCCTTCCTTTGGATGTGTAGGAATGACAGGATGGTAATTCGACTCCGATGTCCTCATCGCCACAGGCAATTTAATTCCCTAGGTTATTGATTATGCCAAGTTGAGCATTGCCTTCAAACTGCCTGGGTTTTTATTTCTGAAGCACAATGGGAAAGTGAGACTTCAGGCTGTTCTTTTTAGGACAAGAAAATAGCTTCCTCTTCACATCTATTTTTGGGAAGAGTCCCATATTACATGAGAAGTGTCACAAGCATGGAGCTGTATGGAAACTTAAAGGCGGTCTTAGATCAGGATTCTCCCTCTTGGTTGTCAAGCCATCAGTGTAAATGATACAGGGAAACGCCTGGTTACTTCAGAGTACTTACTGGCTTGCTCAGAAGCACTTTCCTATGAACATTTTTTT